TGCCATCTAGACAGAAACCACGCAGGGAGAGCTAGACCTGGCTGTGGCAATGGTAGAGGGGTCATACCTGTGGGTGATGCAGAGATTCCTAACTAGATCACTAGGTCCTGAGAGCCACTGGGAAACTGTTAGAGCTTTTTGAATTAAAACCACCATGGCTCCTGAAAGCAGAATGCTGTACATGGGCGGGCCAGGCCAGGCTGCTTAGTCTTTTAACATTTATCATTTTTATATGCGAATTCTTACAGACCAACCGAGGTTGGAGCAGAGGTCAAAGCTCTTCCTGTGAATTTGATTATGGCTACATTCCAGCACGGGACATGAGCAGTATTGCATAGCATCCAGGCACAGCCCCAAAGCCAAGGTATCACCACCGTCCTATCATGATTGTATCCCACAAGATGAATTTCAGGCCATTCGATTGCATGATCACAATTTCTGTTGACATCAGCCAAAGTGATACGATCTGTATCACGCTGGAAACCATGTCTTTGCCACCTTATACAATCAAGGTAGCCGATTAGGCAAACATCCTATTTTTATTTAACAATACGTAAGTGAGCTCCAAGTAATTTCCAGTTTAACTCCTTAGTGTCAAAAAGTGAGGGAGTCAGCCCTATGGATAACCCTTGACTTGAAATCAGAAATGGTAATTATTACAAGATTTAAACAATTACTTTGCAAATGCATTAAGGCAGGTTACATTACTGCCCTTTTCTTTTAGGATTAATTATTATTTCCTCAAACATTGTAGACAATTCATACTCCCATACACATACATACAAAACAGCAGTACAGTAAAACCTAAATAGATCACTGAACTCCAACATACTTGTAATCAATACGTTGCACATACTATACAGCATATTTTAACCTCATCACTGGGCAAACATACACAATTCAGAACAACAGTGACTGTAACACAGAAGCTACCACTGAGATATGGCAAATACATCATATACACTATTAGCTTTTACTTCACTGAAAAAGAAGTTTAGAAGCTTAAAATGGTGTTACCTGAACTCTTGATATCCCCATATAGCGTTGCTAATACGTAGTGCTGCATATACTATATTCATGATAAACAGCACTGGAGCTGGAGTTTCAGGGCACTCCACTATTTTGGTATTGTGGAGTTAAGTCCCATAACTTTAAATTTCCCTTGCAACACAGCATATATTTACTACACACTCATGCCAAGGTAAAGGTTTAGTAACTACTCTGAAGTTAGTAGAAATGGTCTGGATTTGTATCAGTATGACAGAAAGACTTATCTCAGAAAACAAGATCATACATTCCCTCTCATGCATGTACACATATATATATATGTGCACATACATGCATGTATGCATATATATGTGTATATATATACACACACGTGTATGTTTAAAATAATGGCTTGTAATGGCAGGACCTACAAAACCAGTAATGTAACCGACAGCAAAGGAATGGAGATAACCTACTGATTTTAAAACTAGCTTCCCATGGTCTGATTCTGATCTTATCCCCCTTAACACAAAGAAGGAAGCAGACTCACAGGCCATCTGCTATCTGGTCCAAATCACTGCAGGTTGGATCAGTACTGAGCAAAGACGTATAAGCTTGTGCAAACTGAAAAACGGAGCCAAGTAGGTTTACACCAGCTGAGACACTGCACATGTTGTGCAAGCACAGTCACAATTTTTCAAATGTGACGGAAAAGAAAGGATCAAGTAATCACATGAAAATGTCAGAAAACAACACTACGCTATGTGTATACAATGAACATAGCAAGTGGGAAAATGAGAAGGAAAAAAATGTTTTGGCAGAGAATGACATGACAGTTTGAGCAAACAGATGCTTATGAAGATCAGTAGTGTAGACAGGTATTTCTCCTCTGATGGGCTGATTACAGGCATCTAATTTCCCATGCAAGATTTCTCATCACACGTTTGTAGAAACCTCCCAAATTAATCAGGTCAGAAAAATGCATCTGACCCAACCCCACAGCACTTTTCTGGCTGAGACCAAAGAAGATTTTAGCTGCATATGGGTGGAAAAACTGGGCTCTAGAATGATCCAACTGTGCTGCATAGACCTTTCTGGCTTGTTCTTTTTCAGCGAGATCTCCCAAACAATATCAACAGGGAGTGCATCCCTATCAGTACTTAACAGTTTTGGGGTCTTGCAGATGAATTCACCAGAAAAGTATGGATAATATACTCCCTCAAATTTTTTTTTTTAGTAATTAAGGCAAGTTTGTTTACCTGTCCCTAACATAAAATGCTGTGCTTCTCCAATAGAAAGGAGATCGACAGCTAAATGAAAACATAATTTTCTGACCAAAATGTAACATTTTGCAAAGATTTTTTTTCCCCATTAATGGAGAAAGTGTATGATTTGTCTACTATCCTACTTGTCAGAGGATTGGTATTTTTTGCTTCGCTTTTATTTTCCAGCACCCAAATGACAATCAGAATAAAACTGACACTAAGCAAACATTTCATAACAATGCTAACAAGCTCAAGACAGCTCTATATTTATTCATATATACAGGCGCACACACACACATATACTTTTCTTAAATACAGCAGACTATTTGTTTTGAGCACACCTCAGTGTAAGTGAAAAGCTCTGTGTGTCTCGTGTGTGTGTGTGAGGGGGGGTCCCAGGAGGAACTTGGTATTGTTGATGTTCTCAGATTCAACAGAATTTCAACTAGAATCAGAAAAACGAAACCTAGTTTTTGCTCCACCCAAGAACTCAGATTACTTTTCTATATTAAAAGGATATGTTAACTCTTTCAACAACACTTAAGCAGATGAAGGATGCCAGGAAGAGTCTGGAAACAAACAAATCCAGATAAAGGGTAAAACAAAAAGAGCATTTCACACCATATCACCAATAAATAACAAATATTTTAATGTTTCTGTGTGGGACACTCATATGCCCATGTTTCATTTTATGTTTCTGTTACATGAATTTTGCTTGGATAGCTTCTGGAAACTGGTAACAAAGTGCATCAATCCACCCCCTATCTTGCTTAGTTATGTGTGGAAGCTCTAGAGCCCCACACCTCAATGCTAAGATGGACTGTGACTCTGTCAATTTTTTGGGGCAACTCAGGTTAAGTTTTAATGCTGTAAAAAAACCTAACTAGCTTAGATCACAGATTTTACTGGGGATGAGTCTTACAGTCCTAACCTATGTGGAAAAAATTGCTACTGAAGGAGGCATTATAACTTCATAAGAGCTGCACAGTTTTTTTCAACCAAATTTATAATACTCCTGTCCAGAAACCCAAATATCATTATGCAAGTGTGCATGGATGTCTTTGTGTCATACACATACATTCAAATGTGTCATTATACTACATATACACTTAAATGTTTCTTCACAGTTCACACACACACACACTTTTTCCAAGGCACCCTCTCAGTACAAAATAGCAGCAAGTGTTCATTTTATTTCACTTCTTCCTATTAAAAACAAGAACAAAACTCCTATAATCCCCAGATCAAGAAGATCATTTTTGTTTTCCTAAACTCTGATGGTAGGTGGTATTCTTTATCATTTGACAGGAAATAGCAAAGGACCGCATGGTGCCATTCTCTTTTCTGGCTCAACAAAAATTTCTACTAACAATAACAGAAACTTGACCTTAGACTTATCTCATAAAACCCTGCAATATTTCAAAGAGTATTTTCTTGTAAGACATTATAGCATCTATTGTTTTGCACAAATGAAATGTTTTGTTTTCCAAAATTATGTGCCTGTGCATTGATCTGTCCGGGAGATATGATTGACCGCATTGTATCCAGTTAGGTGTCATATAGTGGCAATGCTCTTATTTTATAAATCACTAAGTTTTCCATATATTTGAGTTTTATGTATGTTTCATTAGAAGTAGGATGTTCAGCAATTCTGCTGCTAGAACAGTGCCATTTGGTAAAGTTCCAACCATGTGTTATGTGGTATTATATACAATCAATTTAAGGACTACAGAGTACTGTTATTATCTAGAAATTGAACTGCTACACTCCCTAGTACAGCAATTTTTCACTGATGAAACTGGCACTGATTCTTCTGTGATTAGCAGAGAAGTGTTGTGTTTGCAGCTGCCTTAAGGAGAAGCTTAGACTGAAACTATTTTTTAAGTGCAGTTTTTGTCCTGTGGAAAGCAGGTTTCCACTACGGGACAAAATCCTGCCCACCATACAGGATGCACAGTTTACTCATCCTATGCCCAATCCATCCTAAACACAGGAAATTTTCCTATTAAATTCAGTGGATGTTGGATCAGCCTCTTGGATAAGATTAAACCTGGGAGGAAGTAGCCTAACTTTTTTCCTGCTAGAACCAGGGAGAATAAGCACTGGCAGCTCCTAGTACTGAGTTAAGCCAGCATCACATATCTGCTGACTTGACCTGGGGCAGAGACATAGGAAAATCCCATTTTGAGAATGAAAAGCAAGCAGGATTTAGTCTGTGCTCTGTGTAAGCTATGAAGTACACTGTATTTACTGTTCACTGAATATGCATGTGTTGGGAGGCATGACTTTGGATTTACTTCACAAAGGCATTTAAACCAGTAGCTCACTGATAAATAGGATCAGTTAAACTACCTAACAGATGAAGTGTAGTTGCTTGAAAGTCTTGGGACAGATATACTGTCCTCAGCATCCCAGTGTAATGCTCACAGCATTGGGAATCCTGCAGGCAGAGGGCAATATGCATCCCATTTTTCTGAAAGCAGCACTTGGCACTGTTCATAACCATAGAAGACACATGACTCGCATTTGGTACCTCATGGAAAACATGTAAATGGCCTTCTTTTATCAAACACTGTAAACATGTTTAGTTTCGCTCTTCACAGGAAACACAAATGTAAAAAATTATCATAACTGACTAAAACATTTCCCCTACGCCCACCCACTAAAGCCCTAAACACCTCAGTGTGTTATAGGAAGATTAGTGTTTTACAACATAATTCTTTTAAAATGCAATCTTCTTTTTTAATTTCTAAGTAATGCAACAACACACATATTATAGTGCTATCAAGTAGTGTCATCTTCACCTTCATCCAGGGCATAGTTGAGCTTTATGACTGTGCTGATAAAGTCACCAAGTTCTACAAAATCTGCAGTGATAATATTCACACCACTTTCTCCTGGTTTCTGCGTTCGGACCCACTGCATCATTGCAGGAAGAGCCCTGAGGAGAAAAGAGGAACAATAATTACTCATAAAGCAGCGAGACAAATGCATTGAGGCAGTACTTACCAACAGTGACACCCATTGGTCTTACTTGGTTTCTAAGGGAACCATGTGAGAAAGGACATAGGTTACTGCTCAGGCTTTTTGAAAACTCTTCTTTTTATAATTTCAGTTCTCTGTGGAAATAATATGTCAATTGCATTTCAACTTCTCAGTAGAAGAATTAAAGGAAGACCATTCAAGCTCACAGTAATTATTGATCTTGGTTAGGGGTAAAAGCACAGACCAGATACCTGTTTGATATCATCTGGCCATGTGACTCCATGGCAACCATTCATAGAAAAAGAAGTAACACGGAACTCAAGCCATTTGCAAAGTATGTTTGACACATCCAAGGAAATACTGAAGAATTTTGGGGAACACTGGAGCAACCATAATCTCTACAGTATAAGTACAGCATATACTTCCTTCTCAGTACTAATATTCTAGCCATGAATTACATTTACACATAAACCAGTGGTTAGTAACTGAACGGAAAAGTACCACAGTCATAATGACTTTTCTAAGATGCCACAGTTTCACTATGTCAGAGCCTTAGCACAGGAATACTGGGGTGTAAAACACGTCTGCCCAACTGGGTTTGTGAGTATAAAGAAATTTTTCTGACACCATGAAAAAATAAACTAATGATCACAAGAAATATCTGTGGGAAAATAAAGGGCTCTCCGGTTCTGCTGAAGAAGTCATAGAGCTGTTTCACTTAGTAAAGAGTGAGTCCAACCATTAACCTACCAATGCCAAGCAGCAAGACTCAGTTCTTAGAAGATCAAAGTTAATAGAGTTCCAAAAAAACAAGGTACAGATTTTTCAGAGAAAGGGTAATTGACTATTGGAACAAACTCCCGACGATGGTGACAAACTCTGCAGCACTTGAAGCCTTTAAGTCAAGCCTGGAAGTCATTCCAAAATATACACTCTTGGTCAGCCTCAAGCTGCTGAGTTAAATGAAAGAACCTACGGGCTGGGGAGGACCTCTGCAGTTTAGATCAACATTGTGTTCTCCCTTTGCTCTAAAATCGATAAACCTGTGATTCATCCTCAGCCAGCATGTTGTACAGCCTTTTTCACAGAAGCAAGGAACATGTAAAATGTTGGTCTGACAGAAATTTGAATCAAACTGAACATGCTGAACCTGAATCTGCTCACAAAAGCTTTTGGAAAACTGTTAACAGACACAGTTTGTTATTTGTCAGTGGCCACCAGAATCAGTCATTTCTTAAAACCATTTAGAATAGAAAAAAACCCAAGCAGTTATAATTAGCTCCCTCTATAATTTTACAGGTCAATGCACAACACTAAGATTTTGCTTCAGCAAAAGGTGTTTAATTCCACTGTAGGATCCATGTTTAAGCCCATTGATTCGATATGACTGAAGCATGTGTACATATACACATCATCTCATAAAACTGAACTTAAGCACTCTGCTATGTAAGAACCCAGACAACATTTATTATTTAATTTTATGTAACTCTGAAAAGCTGCACTGCATGGAACCGAATTAGGCACGGGTCAGGTGTTAAACATCCAGCAATGCCTATATTGTTTGAAAAGATCTGTGAGCAACCAGAACAGGACAGCTCTCAGCAGAACAGCATGGACCACCAAGGTGATAAAAGGAAGTCCAGAGCGGTTTAAAACTCCACTTCACATGCAAGATACACTGCTGAGCAGTGGACAAAGACACAAAGCTCAACTTCTAAGATGGCCTTTGTCTTTAATATCATCCTATGTAAGCTCAAAGAGTTTCAGGTTTAAAGGTGAACTGATTGATTGCAGGCAGGCACCGAATTTTTTCTTCTTTCCTTCTGCATAAGTTGATACCCTTGATATTTTACTCCCCCTTGAGGTGTAATTAACTTCTTCTGATGTCCTTTATTTGTTCTGAAGCTGCTTCTGATGTAATTCTGTCTTCAGACTATAGAGTTTGCTGTCTATACACTTAGCCATGTAGACTGAAATACTGTTTTCTTTTTCATACTGTGCTCTTATTAAGCCAGCCTTTAACAATAGTCATGCCTCCTTTTGATTTATGCTCTATATTAAACTCAGCTTGCCCTGCGTCTCCCATTAGGCTTGGTAGTTAAACGGGTTATCTATATTTTACTGACATTTCGCACAGGAGACATTTGCAAGACTCTTTACTCATATGCAAATTGTTAGATAAAGTCACAGAAATCTTTTCTTCACAAGACTAGAGAACATTCAAAGATAAGTCACAAAGTGAATCAGATTATCCAATAAAATGCTGATTTGCATAGCAAAGCCAAAGAACACAATTCTGTAACAAAAAATACCTGAACAAAAGATCCCGCTGACCTTAAAGATTGGATATAGGCTATGCAACTTGGCTTATGATAGAAATTCACAGGAAAAAACTTCATGCAGATGATCTTCCTCCCATAGCGCTACCTTGAAAGTGGATTACATCAGTGACTGTGAAAAACCATACATAGCTCAGTTTCAGTACAAATATCTCACTCACTCACAATAATTACTAGAATAAGCCTACTTTAACATTCCTTAGGGTGTCTTTGTGATAACAGCACAAACCTTATTCACCCTTCCTTGTAATTTCCAGTCTCTGCATGCTTCAAACTAGTAATTGTTCTCATTAAGGGTTTTAGTCAGAGGAACACAAACCATGCTGTGTGGCAGCCACCTACTTGACTGTGCTCACACAAACCCACTAGGTAACATGGTCTTTGTAGATATTCTTGCAATGTTGACAGGAGATGATTTGTGCACGAGCATATGCAAGCCTCTTAGCTTGCACACCTTTATAGCAGTTAGGCAGGTCCTGGGTCTCCTATGGGGGATGTTCATGTCTGTGCTTAAGGGTCTTGCTGAAGTTCTGGCACCAAAAGTGCAGATCCCAACCCTGCAAGGAATGAGGATAGACCAGCCGTGTGAGTACAGGCCACACTTGTAGCTACTCAAGGCTTGTAATCCCTGCTGTTACCCCACTAACTACAGTGGTATAGTCATATCGTGACTACACTCACAGCTTGATGGGGGTAGCGTAATGAGTTTTCCTAATAAAACACTCCCGTGCTGGTAAAACTGACAGCAATAACACTATTGAAACTGCAGGCAGGACAGGCTTTAGCCCTCCTGAGGGCAACCTCAGGTCTTCCAGCCCTCCTGTTCCTCAGCTGCCTCCACTGTAAATGATGCAGTGCAAGCTGGATGTCCTACTGGTCTCAGAGACATGTTGTGAGGTTTCAGCGACATGAATTAACGTTCAGAATGGCACACTAGATGAAAAGTCCTACATCAATATGCTACAAACGAAGACTCAGGCAGCTGGAAAGCTGACAGATGCAGGATACTGTCAGCCCTTAAACTTACTGAAGTCAGCTGCATTCCACAGCTGTGCATCCCAGCCCTCCTGGCCACAGTTCTTGGAAGGAATCACTTCCAACCCCCAAGGGCTGTGAAAGCCACCACCACTGAGACACAGAAGGGTGCTCAGAGCACTGGCACAGGCTGCCCAGGGAGGCTGCGGAGTCTCCTTCTCTGGAGACATTCAAAACCTGCCTGGACGCGTTCCTGTGTGACCTACTCTGGGTGATCCTGCTCTGGCAGGGGGGCTGGACTAGATGATCTTCTGAGGTCCCTTCCAATGCCTGACATTCTGTGATTCTGTGAAGGGTGCTGCTTGCCTTAGCCTAGAGCCAGGGAGGAGGGAAGGCATGTTCATCAGCAAAACCTGCACAGGGAGAAAGAGAGGAGTCTTTTCCTCTCACCCAACTACCTGAGGCACTGTTTTCAACCTGCTGCAGATTCACTGACCTGAGTTAGGGCTAGTGAGGCCAGCACAGCTCCGCTCCACAAATGAGCATCTGAAGTCGACTCCTTTTCCCATGTCCCTGGCAGGAAGGGAGGGCTAGCAGCACGAGCAGGGCAGGGAGGGGAAAGCCACAGGAGTAGTGGTACATTACCTGGGTTTGACTATGGATAGGGATTAGTAATCATGGTGAAAATTTTTCTGTACTGAAGAAATACAATAGAACCTATGATCTATTTGCACTGGCTGGGAACTAGATGGTACCAGACTGCTGCCCCTGATGTCCAGGAGGGCAAGAGAGCAGGGGTGTGAAAGCAGTATGACCAGACACTACATGGAAGGACCTCATGGGAAGGGCTGTGGTCAAGTCCCAGCCCACTGCTGCTGCAGCTCAGCACCAGGGGCACCTGCTGCCCACGCTGCCACCCACACTGCCCAGCAGCCTCTTGCTGGGGCTCCGGGACCTGCCAAAAAGTCTGCATGAGAAGGGGGAAAGCAAAGGAGACCTGTGCAGCAGGGACCTACCTTTGCTGGACAACGCAGTGTCACCCAGAGATATTTGATGTGGCGATATTTCTTCTGAGACCAAAGCTTTTATATGCAGGTGGCACCTCACTAGGTCAGTGAGAATTAGTAAGCTGATATCAAGTACGCAAACATGCCCTATATCACTGTTTCCAGCCTCTTTTTTCTGTTGAGGAGACATGTACTTTCTCAGAGAGCACTGCTACAGTGATTTTCATTTTCAACCCAATAAAATCTAAGCTCAGCTTTGAGTATTATTTTATTACCTCTATTTTCTCCATTCTGTTCGCTTGCTCATATGAACAGAAATGTGTGTAGATTTAAGTTTTTCACTTCTTTCAGAAACCATTTTGTGAGGCATTAAAGAACTCAGCTGAGAAACACTGTCCTGAACTACAAATCATTCATATCCCTTTTCAAAGCTATTGAATATTCAAGACTTGTTCTTTTTTTTTTTAATTTATCAGACATCTCAAGTAGACTCTAATGGTACTGAATTTTGTTTAAAAAATGATAATTAAACAGTCAAGTAGCTTCAGTCCAAGCAGCAAAACTGTGAGTCCTATTACAAGCTTTCAGAAGGAAAATATGACCTAACTAATTGCATTAAATTTTGCTTTAGAAAA